CACTAACGGGGGACAGGCTGTGCCTTGCACAGAGAACATGGTAAATGAAAACACTAGGGCCGGAGAGTGCAGAACATGTAGGAAACTATCAGGTGGTTCTGTCTGTCTGGAGCCTAGTGTATGTGAAAAGCAATGAAAACACACGCTTGAAAGAAAAGTCAGGGACGGGATAGGGAGGTTATTGGATACAGGAATTAGGACTTTATTGTGTAGGCAATGTTCTACAATTGAAGAGTTTTGAGCAGAGGACTGACAGCCTCAAAATTAACCTTTAAGAAGGTTCATTTATATTAGATTGCAGAAACAGAGATGGAAGACTGAAAAGGAAACTAGAACTCTTGTGGTAGATAAAAGTTAATGAGAGACAACATGCCCCTTGGGGGCGGGAGGGGAGCATCAGAGGGAATAAAGAGGAGATGGATTTAAGAGGCACATACGGTAACCTTCATGCTAATGCAACTCACAGGATGGAGCTCTGGAAGATTGCACACCTCCTTTGGCATCTCCTTCTTAACACCAACAATGCTCTATGTAGGCAGAGACTTAACAGCACATCCATTATTAAAACATAAGCATTTAAAACCCAACAGAGCCCCTGTAGTGTCTGACCCATTGTAAATGCCCCCAAATTGGTGTTGAATACTGTTGAATATATGCTGAACATCAGGCAACAAGTCATATAGCCTGAAAACGAAGATCTGAAAAGATATTTTCAACTTGGTGATTGTCACATTTGGTAGAATTCTCTCCCTTTATAGATTTCTTCAATCAAAATGGCATTTAACTCAAAAGAAACATAGAAATACATATTCACATTGAAATGATCCAGTTTAAATGACTGACTTCTGCAGCAAAGTAGAAGCTCTTGCTGACATCTGATTGCCCTCCGTGAACTACTAAGGTTTCATTTTCTGAGCTTACAATATTGAGGATTAGCCTGTACTCATTATGACCCCATTAAGGTGCAGGCATCTATTAGACCCAAGAAGCTGGCTTGATCACTCTCTCATGGAGAAATACCACCTTAACTGCATTTACTACTCCTTAAAATATCCCTCTGATTCTTTTTTCCACTTTCTCTTTCTCTCTCCCTCCCTCTCTCTCTCCCTGTCTTATAATATAAAAACTCATTAAGAACAACAATCAGGATTACTTGTTAGTTATCTCTAGGCCAGGGTTGCTCAATAGGACAGTATTGACATTTGGGGTCAGATAATTCTTTGGGGGGTGGAACGGGGGGACTCTTCTGTGCACTACAGGATATTTAGGAACATCGCAGGCCTTAACCCACTACATGCCACTTTCAACCCATCACCATCATCAGTTGTGACAGCCCAAAATATCTCCAGACATTGAGAATGTCCCCTGGGGGGCAAAATCACGCCGGATGGAGAATCTGCTTTAGATCACGCAAACTGCAGGCACCCTGAGTAATGTGATTCACCCTGAGTAATGTCCCAAGTGTAAGAGAGACCTGGGGATTACTCGGAAGCCTAAAAATCCTAATGTGCATTTCTTTGAGTTCATTATTTGAAGCACCTTAACTTATTCAAACCACCAACCCCTAAATTCACTCTCTAGATGATCATTTCCACTCTAAGGAGTTCTCCTAAGTGTCCCAAAGAATCATCCAGGATTCCAAGTTATCCTGGAAAATGTTCGCTTTGCACTGGAAAGTGATTTTGAGTTCCATGCCATCAGGACATAGAGTACCTAACTAAGCCATCTTTATAAGAGGCTGCACATACATAATCAACTAAAAATCTCTTTAATGAGAACTCTAGAGTGGTGTGTAAAAACAAGAACAGAAGGCTACACCCAGCCTAGCAGGAATTACAGTTACCACAGGGCTGGGGAACTTGAAAAGAAATAAGCAAAATACTGTCAATATGCCTTTTCATCAGATTTGATTCACATAGCCTCAAAACCAAGGAGTTTCATCCAAAGATTTCAATGTAGCGTAGCAGGAGCCAAACCACATAATTGAAACATTGAACTTCAGAAGTAAAGAAAAACCCAAAGAAGTTTTGCCAGCTGAGACCAGAGCCACACTTACAAAGATGGCCAGATCAATAAGAAAGCTAGCGTGGAAATGGGGTTTTCAGCATTTCTGCATTTGCCAGCACTGGTTATTGGCCTTGCCAAGTCTTCAGTCACACATTCAAGCCCTTGAAAACTTAGAACCCTCTGGGATTCTAGAGTGCCATTCATATATTGTTTGTCTGTTGTTCTGGTCCACTGAGTAAACACTGCAGCAAATCTTTCACAGTTATGGTGGTAGACTTTAGAATTTGGAAGGAAGAGCTACAGATAATTTTTCTCTAAAAAATTTAGTTGCACTATTATAATCTGGTTCTCGTTATATTTGTGCTATTCAAATCATGCATAGCCCATAAAGTCTCAGAAAGAGCCACAAATAAAATAAAACAAGAGTTGAAAAAGCATAACGGAGTTCCACACTCCCAAATTGTTTGTACAAGGCAGCTGCAAAAACATGCAGCTCTTATTTGTTTCCCTCCTGATCAAGGTCTATATAATTATCGTAGAAAAAATTCTCCCTATCCTATACGAAGGGCCACAAGTGACAGATACTCAGGGTACAAGCAACCAGGGTATGTAAATGAACATTAAAATGCATGGACTAGGCAGATAAACAAGGGATTGGGGTAACTCTTCCTGTGTGTCTGTGATCACACACAGGGTGAAGCATGAAGACATCACCACCTCAATTTCCACTAGAAAAAAATTATGGGAGAGATTAACAGTAATAATTAACCGTAAAAGTTAAACATCTGAGAAACATTTCTCAGATACCTACTGTGTGTGAGACATGTTTCCTGGCTTTAATGGGCTTACAGTATAAAGGAGAAATAATAGATTTATTACAATCACCTAGTAGATTAGTAGATAAGCTATAAGAATAATAAGTACAATAAGAGATGTTAGATTGTTATAGGGATTTAGAGGAAAGAGACATTGATTCCTGCTGTAAGAATCAAAGGAGGCTCCATGGGAAAGATAATATTTGATTGGAACGTCAAGGCCTAGCTCAAATGCATTCCTGAAGGAAGGCTTCACAAGGCCTATTTTCAAAATACTTCCCAGAAGCACTTTTTCCCAGTTCTACCATAGCTTTGTCATCAGTAAATATCTATCTGTCTTCCAACCAGAAGCGGGCTCCTCGAGGGCTGGAGCATGTTGCCCAGCATGATACCTTACATATCGTAGTGACTTAGTAAACATTGTAGATTTGATCTGAAAATTGTGGTGTTTTGTAGAATCTTGCTATTATCTGTGTATTTCCTCAAGTGGGAGCTTGCTGCTCCTTGCTTTTTCCCTGGCCTTGGAATTCTTACAGTCTATCATGAGCAATTAGGAACACAATTCCCAACAACTAGACTTAGAAGGGAGCATGGTTGCCACACAGTCTAACACTCCCTAAAACTTACCTCACTTCTTTTCTCCCCTTGACTCACTTCACCCCAGGGAAGATGGAGGGGCTTATGAGACCGATGAAACTGGAATAATCGGGGACTCTCCTCACTTCTTCCTCTAGGGATCTAGCTGTTGACACAGGCCTGCCCTGACCCAGGGAGGCCTATCTTAGTCTAGCATTGCCTAGGAATGAGTAGGAAAGTCTGACTAATCCCAGCATTCAATTTACAGACAATTTCATTCCCCCACTAAACTCCTTCTTGCAACTTAACTTTTATTATCAATGAAGATCATCCTTTGTATTCAATCTACCTAATCTTACTAGAATGTAACCAACTGCATGACCAGGAATTTGTGTCTGTTTTGTTCAATGATTGCATCCCAGGCTCTAGAACATTGCCTGGCCCAGGGTAGGCAGTCAATAAATATTTGACCATTTGTTGAATTAATTTGTTGAAAAACTGATCAGCAGGGAGGGAACTATTTATTGGTCCCCATCAGAGGCCCCAAAACTACCTCAAATAGATATTTATTAAATATATGCTAAGTGAATGAAGGAAGGATCCTCTTACCAACCACAACTTCTCTATATTTGCAAGAATCTTATCCTGCTCATTATATTTAAATATATATATGATTTAAGGCATGAATTTTTTCCTATACTCTAACATAATAGTTTTATTTAGCCAAAGAGAATGTTGAACTTTGCCTGTTACGTTAACTTACATTGCAAGTGCTCAGTGCTAAGTCTAATTAGCACCTAGGCCCAGCTCCAGCCTTTGAGCTGTGGAATAGATTTAACCAGAGATATTTGTTCCACTGTTCAGCTAATCAAGTGTAGCCTCATGTGCCGCCAGAGTATAAGCTGCTCAGAGAAAATAGTATGAATGTGCTTTAAACTAATAGGGATCTTAACTCTATTATGAGATTCTAGTCTAAGGCTTTCCATTTTGAACATAAGTAGCAAGAAGATAGGAACACGTACTTCTGGAACCTGACCTTCAGAAAATAATGATGTGAAATAACCTTGTTATCTTGGTATCTTTTTGCTTTTACATTATTTGTTATTTAAGAAAAAAAAACGAGGAAAACGGAGGCAGAAGGAAAATTACCTTTTTCTTCTTCGGAAATGAATCATGAAGTCATTTTGGTAAATTAAGACCAAAGTAAGTATCCAAAAATGAATGTATCATCAATGAAAAGCTTTAAGATAATTATTCAATGTTTTAAAGTATTTTTGATATTTCACCTAATTTAAGATCAGTCTAATTTTATGTTTATCCTAATTTAAGATCCCCCTGTGGGCAAGAGCTCTGATGCAATTGACCAAAATTCTCCAAGATGCAAATAAACAGCTGAAACTAGGCTTAACGTATCTAGGTTACAGAGTATCAGGTCGCCTGATAAAATAAATGATTCTAACAGGAAATGCTTTTTGGTTCAAGATGCCAAGATATTCCCGTTTGTTTTGTTTTGGGGTTATTTTCCTAGAATAAATCATTTTAAATCAATCATTTGTCTTCTCAATATGTTCTTTGGGAGTCAAATTAGGTAGCCAAACACTATTACCACATCGTAATTTATTTAAATTACAGGGAAGTAAATATGAGGGAATATAAGATAAAAGAAAAGGGGAAAGGACAGAATTGGTTGTATGAACTAAATAAGTAGAGGAAAAAAACAATCATCAGAGGCTGAGAAATGAGCACAGCACAACAAATAGAAGGGAAGAAAATCAGAATCTGGAGTTAGCCAAAGATAAAAACCCAGGAAGAAAGACAGGACAAAAGCAGCAACTTCAAGAATGATGAGTTCACTGAAATTAACCTGAGAAGAATTTCGCCTAACTCTTACCTCTGTCCCTACATCTCTGCAACAGCAAAAGCCTCCTGTATCCGGGTTTATCCTTCTCAACCATCTATTCCATAGTATGCTCTCCCCTTCCACTGTGTTTGACCCCAAGACTCTCATGGGGCTTAACAATAACAGAAATAGGACTGGGCTTGGGCATTTGTGGTAGATTAAAGATGCCCGTCAAGATATTGACACTCCTCCAATAGAGAGGTGGGGTCAATGCCCCCTCCCCTTGCATGTGAGTGGCTCTGTATCTTCTTTGACCAATGGATTATGGAAGTAATGCTGTGACAGTTTCTGGGCCCAGATCTCAATAGACTGGCAGTTCTGTTTCCTGTCTCTTGGAACACTAGCTTGGAACCCAGATACCATGTTTTGAGAAAACCCAAGCATCCCAAGGGAGAGGCCAAAGTGGAAAGAAAACAAGGCCCCCAACTTTGTTTCCCAGCTGAGCTACCAGCCAACAGTCAGCAGCAGCTTGTTAGCCATGGAATGAACCATCTTGGAAGTGGAACCACCCGCCACAGTCAAGCTGCCTCAGCTGACGTCATCTGGAAAAGAGAACAGTCATCCTTATGAAGCGTAGCCCAAATTGGGGATTTGTAAGCAAAATGAATAGTAGTGTTTTAAGTGACAAGGTTTTGGTGTGGTTAATTACACAGCAATAAATAATCGGAACAGTCCTCTGGCAGACATATTACATTTCATGTTAAGAAATCATCTCTGAAGGTAGATAGAGGTTGAAGAAGGAAGGACATTTTACTATCTAGATGAAATGAGGGAATATTCTCTCTCTCTGATCTTTAAGGCCCTGTCCTTCAGTCTTTTGTTTTCATATTGTGAAAGACAAAAAAAAAAAAGCCTTCAACCAGAACCTTCTGTCCTTGGTTACATGCGGTTCATTGACTCACATGGCTCTTTGAGACCTCAAAACATGAGAAGCAATGACTAAGCTAACCAAGTAAAGAGAGGCTCACATGTACTGGTCAATTTCTTCCAGGATGCCTGTTTGCCATTTGTCGCTGTAGTCTTCAGAAAAGTCCTACTGAGGACAGAGGCATTTCTTCAGAGGATGTTTAAACTGACTTTATTTTGATTCTAAATAGCTAGTCAAAGAAATTTCTATGAGCAACTTCCCAGACATTTGTGCATGGCCCACTTTGTTTTCTTTATTAATTATCAATTTGAAAACCCACAGCAAGACGACAAGAATCAAGCTAATCTGGTGAATTCATCCAATCACTTACGTGGCTTCTACATGTAGAACACTTGCCTCTGTGCCCACATCACACAGCCTTGGGTGCTTCCTTATGGCAGTTCTCACACCACTCTGCAACGTGTCCTTATCTGTCTCCCACATTGGTCTGCCTGTGCCTGGAGAGAAAGAGCCAGGCCTCAGAGTCATTGTATGCCCAGTTCGCACAGTGCTTGTCATATAGTAAGTGCCCATTATGAGTCTGTAAGTAAACTACTTAGCAAAATAAATAATACACATATTTAAACATAATCTAGAGTTGCCTTCAGATGAGCAGCCAACTTCCAGAGGAAAAACAGGAAAGTAGCTTTTTTCAAGAGCCTTTCAATTGACTTCTTGTAAACACAAACATGAAGCCTGTCCCTGACTCAATGTCCCTAGGTTATACTTTGATATTCAGTTTTATGACCATGATCAAAGTACAATATTTACTCTCAGTAATGTTTAATTTTTAAAAATTGGGGCCACTTCGTTTCACCCAGAGCCACAGGATGCATTAGACATGTGAGAAGAAGGTTAGACAAGAGATCTACATTTAAATGGGTTCTTGGCTTCTGTCTTCACCTTTCATAGGTAGTAGTATTTATTGACCAAAACTGTGGGAACATTATAATTTTAGAACATTTTTCAATTGAAGAAAATTTGATTTCTAAAAGAGTGATTCCCCTTCTCTTTCAAACAGAAGCCTGAATTTTCAGAGACAATTTCCAACAAAGGGAAAAAAAATGTAAAGATGATTCAGTTCTCCAGTGCTATGATCCTTTCAACAGAAGAGTGAAAGTAAATTTACCAGATTTTTCTCTATCTCTATGAGTAATTGCCTCAAATTCTGTTTCGTAGAATGTTAATATTGCTTCCCAAGCTTTCTTTCTGTTAATATTGGTCCGATACATCTTTTCCCTTTAATTTTCAAACTTTATGTATGGATTTGTCTTAGATATTTGTCTTACAAACATCACATAGTGCTGGATTGTTTTAATCTAATCACATAGACTTTTAATAGATACGTTTACTGTACTTACATTTATTGTGATTACTGACAAATTTGGAGTGTTTCTACTTGTCTTATCTTGCCTTTTCTGTTTGCCATCCTCTTTTCTTCACAATTTTTTTTTTCTTTTCTGCCTTCTATTGGATGGATAAAGATTTCTGTGGTCCCTTTTTTCCTTCTGCAGGTTTGGAAGTTATAGACTATAATCTTATTCTGGGTATTACTTTTCATTGTTAAAATACACACTGTGACAGAGACTGGCTAACTGTTCATAAAACCCATTCCCCTTCTCTCCTGGGCACACGGCTAAACTGTATTTCCCAGCCTCCCCTGAAGTTGAGTAGATACGGCTGTTTGAGCCAAAGCCAAGCCAATGGAAAGTATGTAGAAAAGAAGAATGCCACTCCTAAGCTTGGTCCTTTAAAAACTTCATTCCCCTACCCTCACCTTTTGCCAGCTGTGTGTCAATGCCCTGGGGGACTTTGAAAGCCTGATGTTGAAGATAAAGCGTTTATCAGTCTGGTTCACTGAAGGTAACATGGAACAGAGACATCACCACCATCTATCTCTGCCACTAATTGGAATATAGGTTATCAAGAAATAAATTGCTTTGAATCACTGAGTTTCTGCAACTAAAGTTACTTTAAGGTAACACTTCACTATAAATTTTCATTAAAAAATTAGACTTATTTAGTATCTCCAACTGGCACTTAAACAAGAACTTGATATGATCTGACTACCCACTGGATTTTTCATTCATAATGTAATTATTATTTACTGATTCTTTTAAAATTCTTTTTCACAGTCACTAAATTATTTTTACAGTCATTAATTAATTGCATTTATTCACATAGTTTTAGCAAATTCTGCTTTCTGTACTGATTCTTATATCCCATATCCTTTCACTGGGTTCACTTTCCTGCTCTTCAGGTATAAATAGTTCCTTCCATGAGCGTCTATAGGCAATAAACTTTCCTTTTTTTTTTTTTGAAACATTGGCACCTGATCTAACATCTGTTGCAAATCTTCTTTTTTTTCTTCTTCTTCTCCCCAAAGCCCCCATTACATAGTTGTATATTCTAGTTGTAGGTCCTTCTGGTTGTGCTACGTGGGACGCCACCTCAGCATGGCTTGATGAGGGGGCCTAGGTCCGAGCCCAGGATCCAAACCAGTGAAACCCTGGGATGCCAAAGCAGACCACGCGAACATAACTACTCGACCAAGGGGGCCAGCCCCTAAACTGTCTTATGTTATCTTCACCCTAAATGATAGCTAAGCTGGTAGGAAATATAAATTGACAGTTATTTTCTCTCAGTCATCTGGAAATCTTTGTTGCTGATGAGAAATCTGTTAGTGATTTACTTGTTGTTCCTTTGTGAGTAAACTGGCTTTTCTGTCTGGTAGTTCTTAAAGTTTTCTCCGTGTACTTGAAGTTCTGCGGTTTCTTCACAATGTCTGAGTGTGGGTTTGTTCTTATTATCTTATTTGGTACTCAGAGGGCAATTTCAGTGTAAAGGTTCATGTATTTCTTCAAATCTTAAAAATTCTCAGATATTATTCCTCTAATTAATGCCTCTGCACCATCTGCCCTATTATCTTCTTCTGAAACTCTTGTTAGATGTCTGTTGAAGCCACTTAATCTAACTTCCGTTTCTGTTAAAATATTTTTTAAATATTTTTAAATTCATTTCTCTGTGCTGCGTTCTAGTTGAATTCCTCAGCGTTGTGTTCCACCCCACTCACTCACTCGTCAGCTAAGACCAACATAGACTTTATCCTCTCTGTTGAATTTTCATTTGTAATTACATGTTTCATTTCCAAGATTCCTAGTTGGTTCTTTTCCCTATTTACCTGTCCTTTTTATTTCTGCCTGTTTGGTTTCACAGTATGTCTATTTTAACATTTTAAATATAGTTTCTCTATCTTTTTATATATTTGGAGTGGATAGTGAACTTCAAAGAATGACCTTAAAACACTATTGTGACCAAAAGTTTATCATGGGCCAAAGTACAAACAAATAAATCCAGAATATAATAATTCAAACACAGTGGAATTTTTGTTATTGTTTTTTATTTGTTTGTTTTCTCATTTGAGTCCAGGACTGACAGGTTGGCAAGGGCCTGGATAGCGTAGGTCTTTTTCATCCAGTCATTCAGGGACCTAGGCTGCCGGAACGACTGCCGTCTTCAATACAAGCCTTCCATAATCGCTCTAGAAGCCGCCATCCTACGGGATCCCACGGGAAAGCCCAGGGAGGAGCACACAGGAAAGATTTTATAGGCCAAGCTTGAAAGTCTCACATCTGATCTCTGCTCCTATCCCATTAGGAGACAGCATGATCCTATGACCATACCTAACCACAGTCTGGAAAACACAGGGTAGTTGTGCATCTCTGTCTAGCTACTAGAAGTGGAACAGCTTTTGGGAGCCATCGAGTAGTTCCTGTTACAACATCCAAAGGGCAACTCTACTGAAAAGTGTACCAAGTGTTACAGCGATGTCTTCTAACACTTTCCAGGACCTTAACATATAAGCAGAATCAAATGTCTTTACATTCAAATTACAACTTCTTTATTTCTTCTTTTAAAGTAACAGAAGTGTCCCTGAGGTCACTTTATGCTCATTCTTAAGATCATGAGATGGTTTACATCAAACTAGATGTGTTGCTGAAATTCCTGATTCTTCCCTAAAATTTTCCTAATACTCCCTCCATCAACCATGGAATGTGACCTAGAAAAGTCACTCCAAAAGAAAGGCTCCCTAAGGTACACATTTGAATTAAGATCTCCAATTTCTTTTTTCTATCTATGTATTCTCAGTAAATATGCTACCTCTAAACTAATTTATAAAATCTTTTCTTTCATTCATCTTCTGAAAGTCTCATTTTCTCATGACTCCAAGAAAAAACTTTAACTAAGAACTCAGTTAAGTTATAATAATAATAGCAACAATTTATTGAGTGCCCATTACGGAGCAGGCACAGCTGTGCTGAGAGTATCATACTCATTTTCTCATTGAATTCTCTCAGCAATCCTGAAGATGCTCATTTTTATTCTCATTTTATAAATGAGCAAACTAAGGCTCAGAGAGCTTAGGTAATTTGTTCAATGTCCCAGTTAGAATGTAGCTGAACTGGGACTCAAAACCAGGGTGGATGCTAAATCCTGCAGTCTACTTTACAAACTACCCAAGGACTTTACTGGTAAATGTATGCTCTGTTATTAGCTAAGATTTCAACCCCAAATTACTATCAGCTCCTTTTCTTTGTTGAGCAAAGCTGTGCCTTATGGGCTTGAAGAATCCCTCTGGCCCATTTAGAATAAGGCCCAGACTAAACATAGACATTTGGCAGGCTGGTCCATGACCCCTTTACCCTTAGCCTCATCTAGCAGTTCTTGGCTGTCAGGATTTTCCCACTCTAATATTTAAAAAAAAGAAAGAAAAAGAGAAAATACCCTTCCCCTTAAGGCTTCACTCTGGTCATCCCAAGGAGGAGGAACTTATATGCTCCCTAGATGTCAAGAGCATGGGAAAGAAGAAAGGCAACCAAACGAATCATGAAAAAAAGAGAACTTTGACTCCACTGTATTGTACCCCTCTATAATGAAGACCCCTAATGTGACCTTGACATCTCCATTTTGTTCTTGGCCAGGCCAAAGCTGCTTCTTCTTGAGGGTCAGGGGAAAATGCCTTGAGGTTCCCCAAGAGCAGAGCTGACTAGCTATTTTTGTCTCCATCTCCAGAGCTTATGATATTGTCCCCCTTGGGAGAGTGCTGGAACTGAGAATCACTGTGACTTCTCAATATCCACACCAACCAAGATTCTGTTGAATTTTACTTATTTGTCATTTGTATCATTAAAACAACAGCTTTCCTTTTCATTTTCATATGTAAACTTATGTACTGAAAAGCACTTTTTCAAGCTATACATGCGTTTCATCACAGAGTTTGATGTTACTGCTCCATGATTTGCAATCATTGCTCAGAAAGATAAAGGTAATAATTAGCTGTCATGCTTTTAAAATATATTGCTTCATGACTTTACCTTAAAGCTTTAGAGGTTTGAGACTATAGAATGAGATTACACAAAGAATTTTGGTTTTTCTCTTATCCTAAAAGTGCCAAAAC